TTGAGATTGGTTTAACAAGACGTTATGAACAAACCCCTTTGCCTTTCAAGCTTGGGGCTAGTTGACAAGTGTATCATCTCGGATATAATCCAAGATGGACACGTCGAGATGGGTCTACCGAGATGGGATAGGTTACCCGATATATTATTTCGATTTAGAAAATATGGACAAATCTTATCTTTAATAAAAATAATATATCAAGATATGATACTTAAATTATCTTATCAAATCTCAAAACTCTCGATAAACCCATAAACAATCAACTATAAATACTTTAATCGCAAAATAAGGATAAATATATTACATTATTGAATATTCTAACTTTGGCGACTTTCATAAAATAAATTCTAGATGTTTTTTAGATGGAAACATAATAATAAAATATTAATAGGACAAGCGCTCCCACTCTATTCTAAGTGGATTTGTCACTGTTTTGAAATATTGTTATTCGCTCCATATTTTTACTCAAATTAATAAAATTTCTCATTTGAGTTTTAATTAAATTGTTAGCTAGTTTGTTAAACATATCCCGACTCATGCAATTTAACTAATCCATAAAGTTTTCACTGTATAGTTCCTCTGATCTTGGGAATAAAATGAGTCACCCGAGTTATGTGGCGAATTCTGTCAACTTTTAACAAGCATTAGCGAAGAAGCTTTCTTGCACATTTTTAAAACTTCCAAACAATAATTCAAAGGTGATCTGAATTTTAGGGTAATTATTTACATTTATCCAACATATAATGGGTTCATAGAAAATTGTAAGTTATTGTGCTATTCTTATTCAGGCATTAGAATCCAAGTCAAATTTGACTTAATTTTGTCTGGAATTTTTTTTCATTAATATCATAAAAAAAAAGAACATAAGATAAAATAAACTAAGTTTGTTACATAAATGTACTTAACTTTTATAGAAATTCAATAATTTGAATTTTCAAAATTAATATATGTAAGTTAATTTTAACTTATAAAAAAAATTCAATTCAATTCATTTTATTATTTTATTTTATTTCCCTATAAATCTTAATCTAAATCGGACCTTAGCATGACATCCTATCAAGAGTGGAAATGAATATTTGGAATTGACTGTTTTTTATTTTGTAAAACTTAGATGATAAAATATAGGGTTCAATAATTTTTTAGTCCTTTGAATTTTTAAAAATTTGATTTAGTCCATTTAATTTTTTTATTTATCAATTTTCAGTTCTTCATTAATATTTTATCTTATAAATTAATTTTTATAGTTAAGCCTCCTTTATTAAGTGATCATGTATGTTAAAAAATTAGGATTAATTTAATTATTGATGTTCAAGTGGCTACTTAGTAGTTAACAATTCACATGACATATAATTTTTTCTATTTGCACATTATGATCAAACATTATTTTTTTGAAAATAAAAGATGCTATTAAAATAACTTGTCACATCTATGACTATGAACAAATAGCAAAATTACATATTTTAAATGATTTGACATTTATTAAGCAGTCATACGGACATTAACAGTCAAGTCAACAATCATTTATTAATACACGACACCACTTAACATATGAGACTTGACCTCAATGACTAATTTATATGAATGAAAATTAATGGGGACTAAAAGTTGGCAAAAAAGTTTAATAAGGATTAAAAATTGAATTCTTAAAAAGTTAAAAGATTAAAAACTTGTTTAATATATATATATATATATATATTACATTTACATTAATGTAACCATAGGTGGTTGAACTAATATTTTGACATTGTGGTGGCTATGGATCAGTTTT